TCCCCAATCCTCATGCACCTGTGTAAAAGCCAGGGATAGTCTGGCCCAACAGATCAGGGAGCTATGGGAGAGATTTGTAGCGTCTCTAGAATCCAAGATGTGGAAATCATATTTTGAGCCTAGGTAGAGTCCTTTCCCCCTTTCTCTAAATATTGAGAGCCTTGGTGGATTTCCATGACAGACTGGAATTTGTGCTATGGGGTGTGGTTAACCAGTTTTACAAACACCTTTGTGACTAATTCTTAAGGTCAATGGGTCTGCTTACTTGAGTAGGGAATCTTCATGTGTGTGAGGGTTGCAGAAATGGATCCACAAAATTTACATCTTCAAAGTCCTTTACAAATACTATCTGGTTCCCAAAACACCCCTATATCCTTAGTACACATTATCCCCATTTTGGGAAGCTGAACCCAGGAGAGGGAATTGGTGTCAGCACTGGGATTAGAACTCAGGGGTCCCTGCTTTCGAGTCCTTTGGTAAACATCACCAGATTGTGTCTCTCTTTAAAAAAATTGTTTAAATTAGACTGAGATGAAAAGAGTAAATCACACAATTATTCCTAAAGACAGCCTTTTTTTTTATTTTAAAATTCTGCATCTGAAAACACAGTATGACAGAAAGCATTTATATACAACCGCAGTGTTTTTGGTATAATACAGTATTTAATACATCCATTTCTTTTTCTGCAAAAAAATTTGCTTTGTCAGACAAAAAACCAAACTCCCATAGACAAAGAATACCGCTAAGGCACATTGTTTTTCTGCTAAATGAAAGACAAAAGGGTGCAAAAATGGGTAGTGCAATAATTGCTGAAAATCACATTCTACTACAAGAAAAGCATTCTGACTTCTGAACTTTGATTACCGGTCAATTTAAGACATTTTAATATCTCATAAAATACTCCTTTAAATAAATAGCAAAATATCTACATCTTTCAGTGTGTGCCATTTGAATTTCCAATTTTTTTAAACTTTACTGTATATACATGTTTTTTTCTTAATCAATAGATTACAAAATATTTCTGTACAGTTTTATGCATATTATGATCTATAACAAAATAGTTATTTCTGAAAACTATATCACTACCAGTCTCTGAGGGAACGTTAATAACTTATTATGGAGTACGTTAACCAATACAAAAAATCCAAATCAATAGAACAAAAACAAAAAGACAAAGTTAGAAAGAGAATTTCATTAGCTCAAATTAATTTGTGTGTGTCATACACCATGTTTTCTGTGTAAACTCTTTTCTGTGGTCTTTGGGTTGTACCACTATCAGAAGAAAAAAAGAAGATTCTCAACCTGCGGCCCAATCAGCATCCAGCTGCTGCCCATGTGACATCCTCTGGGCCATACAGGTAGTATTGGATGTAGCCCACAATGGTAAATAGGTTGAGAACCACAATCTGGGTCCTTAAAAGCACTACCAGCCTGCTGGGAATATTGAGACTGTTGAAACGATACTGTTCTCTGTGCCAATGAAGCGAAGAGTTAAAACGAAAAGTGCCTGAACCTGACCAAAGACCAGAACGGGCCATGCTTTTAATAGTATTTAGACATCTAAAGATGTGAATCGGTGCCTATGGGAATTTTAAAAGCCATGGGAGTTAGTCACCTATCTACATCTTTAGAGCCTAAATACCTTTAAAAATCTAGCCCTAAATGTCAGAAGTTCTTCTGATTTTTAATCTTCATTGAATTACATAAAGTCACCAGGACAGATTCTTTCCCCAGTTACACTAGTGTAAATCTGAGAGGAACTCCAATGAAGTCACACTGGAGCGAGTGGAGTTACTCCAGGTTCACGCTGGTGTAACTGAGACCAAATCTGTACCGCTATACTTTGAACACACACAAAAAGTCATGATGTTAGCATTTTGCAGGTAATTAGACAACCCAGTTTAGCTATAATATGTTGCAAAAGAGAATTCTCATAATTTGTGAAGGTTTATAGGTGTATTCAAGTCTTCCTTTTGCCCAAAAGGAAGGTCATTTTTTTTCTTGAAGCCTGCATTTGTAAGCAATTCCAATGGTATTTGTGAAGTGTCTGCTGACAGCTACACAGCTCTGAGTTGCAACAGAAATCTCAAGGTGCCTTTTATTAGGTTGACAACAAACCGAGAGAAAGAGACAACATCTAACTTTCCACTACAGTTTAAGGCCACATTTAAAAAAAGGAGGAAAGTAAGGCTTTTTAAAATCGGGCAATTCACAGGACGTCACAATGTGAACATACACTAAGAAATTCAAAATAATATGATCTGCTCCAGGAAATCTAAACCAAGATCCAATTTTTGACCTTTAGGCGTGGGCCTTTTTTGTAGGAAAAAAAAAAAAAAAAAAAAAAAAAACCTGCAGTTGACTTTCTCCTCCAGACTATTCCCAGCAAACTGAAGGTGCCCTTCTTACAAGAGGAATTACTATCTTCTCAGTCAAGGGTGTTAATTACAACAGAACCAAAGACAAGTAAGTCATTACAATGTAGAAATGCAGCGCAATGATCCGTGCAGAAAATTGTTACTCTGTTATCAGAGGCACCTGTACAATATCTTGCTGTTTATTTGGCAAGGTTACAAGTAATACTTCCAAGTTGTAACAAAATAGCGAGAGAATTTGCATAGATTGTACATTCAGCTCAAGGAGATTTCTGGTACCTTTTTTGTTGTTGTTGTCATCAGGTAAACTTGTTTGCAGACATAGTGAGGTAGCAGCTGTGATAGCACCCATGGGCAAAAGAAGGTAACCAAAGCTGAAGCAAACAGCAAAGAGTGAACTATACACTATTGTTGGTAAAAGAGAACCAAATAAACAGGGCACCTGCAGTATTGCAGCATCACAATTCATCATCGAAAACACCACATGTAACTGAAAATAGCCTAAGTGCTACCTTGGCCCTTGCGTTGGCTAACGTGAACATCTCGTTGTTTCAGTTTAAAATGTGTTGGGCCTGATACTCCTCTCATTCACACCAGTTGTGAATCAGGAGTCACTCCAGTGAAGTCAACAGAGTTAAACCAGTGGAAAGTGGTATGCGAGGAGAATCAGGACCATTGTGTTGTACTCCTACAACGTGGAACTGTGCAATTAACCATTCAAATCTCCCTTTGTACTCAGCACCTTCTGATAGACTGCTATGCAATATAATTATTATTTCCACCACTCGACAGTAATGAGATGTTTGTGAATGCTCAAGCTACACGATGGAAGAGACTATTTAACACAAGATTTCCATACTCGAGGCCAGATCAACCCCTCCCATGCAAAACCAACAGGAGAAGGCTGGAGGGCAGGAAAATCCCAGGAGGATCCCTTTGCAGAATTTTCCCCACATTGTCCTCTCTACCGGATGAAAGGTGAGAGAGAGACAGCCCTCTCTCAAAAACCACACTGATCCCCTGGGATCCATGGGGAAGCCATGGACTGGCTATGGAGCCCCAGATCTCCTGCTGCTGCTGCATTGTAGTGTGGCCCCACTGTGGTTAGGGGTATCTGTGGCTGTTCTGGTGACCTCTTTAACAAAGGAGGCCCATTGTGGGGGAAGCTCTGCCAGGAAGGTAACAGAGCGAGAGGCTGTGCTCTCTAATTCCTGCAGAGCCAGCGGGGGAACAATGCAAATCCCCCTGACCCTATTGTTTCCTAATGCTGGGTCACCTATTTCCTAACCCTAGCTCCCCCCCCCCCATGGATTCCAACCTTTTCAGGATCCTGAGGACTGGGAATAATGCTGCGGAGTCTACTTTACTTCTGATGCTTGAAGTGTTCATATTGAGGTAACATCCTAAGCACCCATAGGAATGTGTTTGGGCCTAGGATCATCCTTTAGTATAGATGAAATGAAATAATGCATTAAAATGTTACTTCCCAATAGCAAACTGGAGTAAGGAACCTTTGGAGATGCTGCTAACCACCTCCTGACATGTTTGTCTTTTTCTGTTATTACTGGATACATTACATACCCACACCTCTGAGAACGGGGGGAAGATAGTCCCTGATGATTACCAGCACCTTCAGAGCATCCTTTTATATATCTTTGCACTGAGCAAATTGATTTGCTTTCAAAAGCCAACTTTTCTGATTTATATCTGGGGTTTCAATGCAGTCTGGGGGAGTAGGGTCACATGGGATGGGTGCATAACTCCCTGAGGAGTTATGAAAATTCCAGTCTATATGTTCAGAAATAACATACGAACATGTATGGATGCGTGAATTACTTGCTGATCTACAGCCAGCTTTGGTTTAATAATAAATCTAAAAGCACTGAAAACAACCGAGCCTGTGGCAAGACAGTTCCGCCCCGTGACCACAAATGGATGCGTTCTCTTTTTGATATACATTAGAGCCATAAAAGCTGTGCTGTGGCTTCATGGTATAGTGGCCTGCTTTCATTCGGAGGGAGTATTCTCCCCTCTTCCCATTTGCGGGTTGAGGGGAAGAATAGGATTCTTAGAACGCAAACAATTTAAACTCACAAAGGGTTTTGTTTTAAGAGCTAAGTAATACATTGAAATGGTCAAGCTGTAAATCTTAAATCAAAAAGGGGGAGGGTCCAGAAAGACTTCTGCTCCAGTTTTTAAATACTGCCACTCTGATGTGGCTTCATGTTGCAACACTCAAAAGGTTAACGGCTGAAATATCACTGTTTTCCTGACTTCTCCTGACAATACAGATGTACAGCATAGTATAACCTACTTGTACAAGATGGTAAATGCTACTTTATGATTAGCAGGAATTCAAATTCAGCCCTGGTATAAGCTCAACTCAGCTGAAGATAAAGTTTGGCCAATTGTTTTAAGCTTTGGAATTCTGGGAAAGACAGAAGTCATTCTCACGGCTACTTCCAAGCAGAGAGTAAGAGGCAATCTGTGGAAGTAAGGGTGCACGGCATTATAGCTATGGGCAAGTTGACAATTCTATTTCAGACTAAGAGCACGTCTACAGAGCAGCTGGGAGCATGCTTCCCAGAGTGGATGTGCTCGAGCTAGTGAACTAATAATAGCACCGTGGCCATGGTGGCACAGGTGGCAGCTTGGGCTAGCAACCTGAGTACAAACCTGCCTGACCCCCTGGGTATGAACATGGGTGGTTAGCCCGAACTGCTGCAGCCACACTGCAGAACTAGTGTGTGTCTGTCTACCTGTGCTGGGAAGCCCGCTCCCAGCTGCGGGACCTGATTAAATCTTGGTGTAAGGGCTGTAGCTGCCATTGGAATCAATGGAGATTTGCCCCATAGAGTCCAAACAAAATAAAAAGCTGGGGTTTGTTTTTAATCAGAAAAGTCAAAACCAAGATCCCATAATGCAGTGCTCCTGAGCCTTAGAGTGAAATAGACAAGAAGGAGTTTAGCTTCCCCTTTGTTGCAATATAGAAATCCAGTTTTGTCTCAAGCTTATTCTAAGGTTTGGTTTTTACTTTACCCTGCATTACCTCCTTTTGAAGGCTTTGGATTTTCTCAGTTCTTTGTTTGAATTACTGACTCTAACGCCCTCTTCCCTATAATAGTGAATAAAAGGGATTGTGATGTTACTGGTACCATTAGATTTGTAAAAGCTGGCCAGAGGCTGACTATACATTAGCTGATCCTTTGGAAGGTGTTACAGGATCACCATTAATATATCATTAAAGCAACGGTATTTGCAAGATTTTTTGCGTTAAAGCCAGTATCTAGGAAAGTTAATCTGTTATACCCTACTGTATACACCTAGCTCTCTAGACTTAGCAACAGAGATATAGCTTATAGTAGTACTTGCCAATGAGAAAATTGTTAGTATACTCTGTCCCTTCAGCCCTCCATATAGAACAAAAATGAGGATGTGATTTTAATACTAAAAATATCACACATCAGAAACCTACTATATAAATATTATTACTCCATATCCAGTCAAATTTTATAAATAAAAAGAATTGGTCCACATCTAGAAAATAAACTGTCCTTTGAACTAATCTCTGTTAGCCTCAGGGTATAATATCACCACATAAACAGGTCTGCATATCACTAGGACTGACTTTGGATTTAATTCATAAAAAAATTTATGCAGATGTTCTGCATTTTGCCACATTTCTTTCTGGCCTGAATCAGGCTGGTTGATTGTACAAGTGTCGCACGTCTATCTAATCTAGCAGCAGGGGCGTGGTGTTTAAATGAGCACATCACTCCACACAGTCCATATGGAAATACCCTCCCCTCCATATGTGCATATGGAAATACACTCTTCTCCCATGGAAGGCATATGGTCACAGCTGGCTTTCAAATGGAATCTTATAAAATATCACTAGCCAGCACGCTCTGAAAATACTACTAGAACTTTCAAATGAACACATGTATAACTTGTTTGTTTCATATAAACTGTGGCTCCCTGCTTTGAATTCTCCTTTTTACCAAATGTAAGATCTGTGGAAGTTATTCTCTTCTAACAAGACATAATGTTCATCACAGGTATCAAGTGTCTGCTATTTTAGAACCAGAAAAGCCACTGAGCAGCACCTAGATCTTAGCAGTACTGCCTTAGCAATAATTTTGGGGCAGGCTCTGTTCGCAAATGGAAACAGTCTTGCTTGCCATGATTTTTCACTTCATAATTTATAGAACTTTATGACATACCGTCCAATATATTTTATATACCTCTGTATCTGCAACTTAATAGCTATGGTAGAATGTGGTCATTTGGGTGTAAAGCTTGACACCCACCTCAAATAATGCTGTGAACTGAGAAGCTCTTGAAGAGTCTCACTCTCTGCTGCTTTTAAACACATACAGACTTTACTCATAGCCCAGTGTCAGACTTTCAGTTATGCTGGGCTTGAGTCTAAAGACCATACTCAGAATCATCCATCCACAGAAGTTTGCCTAAGAAGGACTGCAGGGATCTGACCCTTGATTTTTACTTCTAGTATTTAATAGTAGCACTGGCATTGCCGGCTTGCTACAGTACTTATTATACATATAGACTCTTTTTGTTATTTAGAAAATAAAACACTATAAAATATTTCTTTTGAGATGTTTACAACATAGCATAAAATTTATGTCAGCAACAATTTTTTTTTAAAATTGTGAAATAGGAACTAAAACAAAGTCCTTTGAATCTGTTATATTTTAAATGATACAAGTGGTGGCTACTGTTCTATCCATAAAAGAGAGACTGGATTGTTTCCAACTTCTATTTGAGAAATTTAATAACGAGAACTTCCCAACAAAGCATTAAAAAAAAACACTCCTTCTTAATAATAAAAAAGGTATCAAATTTAAAAACCTGGTTATCTCTGTGTGAGTGTGTGCGCAAGAGTCCAGATCTCATGAATTCATCAGCAGATTTAACTGGAATGATCTAAAGACTAGCAGAGTGGATGAATCTTATTATTTATACCCTAATCCATGACTGAATGTGATAATCTCCACTTGATCTGCAGGGCTTTAGCCATTGCAATTCCCATTGGGTCAATGTGGCTAAAACCCTAAATTCATAGCGGAGATTAGTGGTCCCCTGGAGATTTGACATTTGTGATGGAATGTTAGATAAAAACTATTATTTTTAAAAAAGCACTGAAAGAGAAGTGTTTCTATTATATAAACCTGTTGACAATGTTGGTCTGAACACACTCACCACTAGAGCCAGCTGAAAAACAGGAACATTGTTTAGACAGAAACTTTCCAACCAGCTCTAATAACTACAAGCTTTTCTAGAACTACAGATCCCAGACTGTCAAAATCAAGAGGGTAGAAAGAAAAGGAGGTCTGAGGAGGAAAAGGCCTTTTCTTAATAAAGGCAGCTTTAGTTAGTAAGATAAAATCTTCAAGCTGCAAAAGCAGCACCTACTAATTAGTCATTGACTAAAACATAAAAAATAAATATCTAAACTGTTCCTCCTATGTATCCACCTTTGTTCCAGATAAACATTTAAATGCTCTGCCTTAATGCCAGCACAGCTGACATTGCAATTTCAAGTCCAAAGCAAACTGCAGGAGCTTTAAACCAAATGGAGAAAAATATAACAAGCCATCGAGATCTCTGTTTTATGGTCATTTTGCAACCATTATTTAAAAGAGAATTCAACCTTTTTTTGTGATATGTGGTTATGAAAAGATTTAAGGGTCTATTTCCCCCCGATGTGTGAGCTTAACTCTCATTAGCTGTAATGAAAGTTATACATGCCACAGAAGGGAAAACAGACGCCTTACTTTATTAAATTAACAGGGCATTTTATAATTAAACCCATCAAGGTTCCTTGAAGTTTCCGGGTACATTGTACTCAAGGGACCACAAAATAAAAGTGCACATTGCATGCAAAATGCTTCAGCTGGAGATGAATTTGCATACAAGAAAAACATTTTTAAAAGTCCTCAGAATTTAAAATTGGATTTTTTTCAGTGTTGAAAACTCAGGTTCAAATGATATATCACATCCGTATTTAAAACAGGATGCAGTCTGCCAAAGAGTCAAAAGGGTCAATACACGCAAGATTAGAGCTTGTTGATAAAAAATAAATAAATAAAATAAAAGCACTCTGAAGAATGGCATTTGCTCTCCTTCATTCAATTCATGGCTTCAGTCAGGAATCTCCATTACACTCAAGGTGCCACTCACCACAACATTCCAGATGTACCATGCAATCTCAAAACTATCCTTCTTCGTGAATGTTGGCAGGTCTGGGACCAATAGAGGCAATTAGTGTTAGACTCGTTAGCCACTACTTAAAATAGTGCAGAATCAGCTTGCTGCATAATTAGGTCCCAGTCTTTCGCCCACTGAAATCAATGGAAAAGCTTCCAAACCAAAATAATTAAAGGGCCAGATTCTGCCACTTTGACTAACTCAGAGTAGAATCTTACACTGTGAGTTGGCCCTTTTAACCCAATCAAGCTACTCATGGAAAAGGGTATGCTGCCATGTGAGTATCACAGCCTGGGTCTGAGCGTCCACACATACAAGCTGCATGCACAAACCCCCTGATGTATGTGGAATTTGCACATCCGCTTATATGCAGATGGTGTTCTGCGTGGATTTTTTTAAAATGCAGATTTCAATGGGGACAAGAATCTGGACTTTGGGCAATGAGAATACTTGTTTTTAATACTGCAAGTGGTGCTCAGCCCTTGTGATGACTGATGACTAATCATAATAGGAATAAAATATATAATTTTAGAACACTCATTTTGTTCAGAGATCATCAAATAGATGAGAATGTCTCACCTCTAAAAAGAGAGAGGAAACCTAATTCACCACTCTGTTAGTCTGGTTTCTTTGCCAGTGTGATGCACTCTGGTCTGAAATTGGAGTTAACACAATGATGAATCAAGCCTAGAATTTCTCAACATTAGTCAGGGTGTGTCCCAATTTTTTTACATCTTGTAAAACATTTTGACCATATTTTATAGATCATTCTTCTCATGAAAGATATATTGGAGTTTCTGGTTATTTATGTTAGCAAAATAATTAAAATGTAAAATATTCAAAATATACATAGGTGTTTTTGACTGAAGGTATTTTTAGCAGCTGCTCCTTTTTTACCCTCTGAACATACCAGACGTGCCATGTTACCATTTCATAATCGGAGCAAGAAAATGTTGGAGCCTTTTAGATACAAAGTGAATGAAGTAAGGTTGTGACGCTATAAAAGATACAGAGGAGATGCACAGTGCTACTGAAGCTTAGACCGATGGATCTGAAGGAGAAACAATGCCAAAGATTTTGCCAGATTTTTAAAAATTATATATAGAGATGAGAAATAGACAACAAAAAGTTTCATCGAGGTTTTGGAATCTGTAGTCGGATTCATATATAAGCAAGGTTAAATTCTCTTTTAAAATCTGTGCCAAAGAAGGGTATACCAGATGCTACCTCAAACGCCCATCAGGTTTAATGGGACCCAGCTCTGACTTCGGGTCTGGGCTCAGAGAGCTCCAGGCTGTTTGACTGCAAGCCTGCATGACTGGACAGGAAGTTGGACCTGTGCTACAGACATCCACCGCTGACCATATGCTGCTGACCAAGGTGTCCACCCAGTTCTCCAACTTGGTACCTACGAGCGCTGCATTCTTTTTTGCCTGGTCCACTTGAGCTGCCTTGATAGGAATATTTAAAACTGGATTCAAGCCTTGGAAGCTCTGCTCCATGTATGCGTTCTTAGGAGGCCCACTATGCAACTTCATGGATTCTTCTGAAAATACAAAAAATAGAGCCCTGTAACAAATACAGCATTTGGGATATAACTCTAGGACCTAAACAAAATGCAAAGGTTACTGGTGCACCAAACTTCATTTCCATAGCATTGACCAGGATGTTGAGATTGTCCTATGTAACCAGGATGTGTGGTCTGTTGGGCTCAGGCTTTTAGATCTCACATGCTCTAGGTTTTCCCATGCTCAAAAATAACCCCAAATCATGAGACGGCTGCATTATCAGAATAATGAGGAGGTTGGTTTGAAAGTAATATTATCATCATTAATGCTTTGTATTACCATAGCACTGATGAGCCCTAGTCATGAGCCAAGACTTTATTAAACGAGGTGCTGTACAAACATAGAACAAAACGACAATCCACGTCCCAAAGAGCTTGCCCTGGTTACAAGAGAATCAGATAAAATGGGTGAAGTTCAGAACTGGAACTTAAACAATGCTCTGCCTAGACTCCACAATTTCCAACTGGGTTCTATCCCATCAGCAAACATAGATGGGCTGACTGAGTTAATCCTCAGATGGTGAAATGAGGACAGGGAAATGAACGGGCGGCCCAGAAAACCACTGTGATCATCCCATCAAAGCTAGAGGACCAAGGGACTGTATTTCAAAGGAGAAAACAGTTAAATAATATTTGGTACAAAAAAGGCTGCCAAACTTTTTCAGACTTAACGTGTTATCTTAAAGTGTTTGGTTTGGGGAAACGGCTGAGACTTGGGGCTGTTTTTTTCTGAACGGATTCACTCCTCCCTATCTTTGAAAGACTGCGGATATGTCACCATATGTTTATCAGCTTGACCTGTCTCCAAAAACTGGGTGGCATCAGTCCCAGAACTTGGAAAGATAACATCGGTGTTGGACAGTGTAGATGGGGTTGATGTAATGAATGACCCCAATGTGGTTCCTGGAAGCACTTCAGGTTGAACCGTTTTTATTGGAAACATATTTTTAATAGCAATCAAGCTCTTGTGTGAGTAATGCACTGAAACAATTTCCTAATAATACCCTTCAGTGCACTGTGGTTGTTTTCCTTGCTGTAATTCTTCTAACTTACTAAAATGTGGCATATTGCCCAAAATCTTAATATTCAGTCATATCTATGAAATGACAAAAAGAAATAAACCAGAAACGAAAAGAAAAATAAACCTACTTAAGGCAAATACTAAGGCTATGTCTACACTTAAAATGCTACAGGGGCACAGCTGCTGCTTCAGTGTCGACACTGTGATGGGCTGGGTTCTCCTGTCAGTGTAGTTAATCCACCTCCCCAAGAGGCAACAGCTAGGCCTAGCCCCGTCCACACCAGGAGTTAGGTCAGCACAGCTACATCTCTCGGGTGTGGATTTTTCAGACCCCTGAAAGACACAGATATGCCTCATTGACTTCAGTGGGACTATTTGTAGAGTAAGGTACATGGAAGCACAATCTGGCCCTATGAAAATATTCACTATGTACCTTTCGCTAAAATGCTTTACAGGTGTGAATTCTCAGTTTATACACTTATTTCTTTCAGTTCTCAGTTCACTTCTTGTAACATCAGCACTCAGTGTTGCATAAAGGATTTGCTTAACTTTGCCAAGATACACATTGTCGAGAACACAAAACAGGCTCATTCAAGTCCCTCCAGGGCTAGGAAAGTCACACTATGTTCAGATTTCTTTTACAGGCCAGGAATCACACGCTAATGGCCACAACTCCTGCCTCATGTCCATGCTGCTCCTTTATTCATCTGAAAGCCTATTTTAGCTAAGATTGTGCCTATCCCCAAACCCATTAGACAAAATAGGCTTGTGCCATGCAGATCGATCAGAAGCGCGTGTCTGACAGAGGACTGTAGTAGAAAACAAAACAAGGACACATAATTCAATTTCCTGCTTTGGAAGCAACTAAATATTCAAGATTGTTTGTAAACCTATTAATTAAAAGGGAACGCCTAAGCAAAAGAGCAAAACAAATAGAGTACTGTAACACTGCACTGACAGAGGTGCTGACTTTCAACTCAAACACAAAACCAAGGAACTGGCCACTTGTTAAAAGATCCAGTAGCATTTTTTGCTGGAATAAGGGTATTAATCTCTGGGTCCTTGACAAATTTGAATTTGAGCAATTATATTTTGACTTCATAACTCCTCCTTGTAGTTGCATATTTTGCATGTCCAACATTAAATTGTTGTGTTGCTGTGCACTATTGAGCAGTTGCTGTGTTGAGTCACGGAGCTGGCTGCATTTCAATGGGGAACAATACGATTTTGGCATACCATTTGTAAAAGTTTATAGTGCATTTTTAGATGGACTTATGTGAAAGGTATTCACAAAATATTAGTAGTAGTATATATCTATGCAGGAGAAAATTGTTTAACAGAATACTCTGCTTAAGAGAATAAAACACTATTTCCCATTTGACAGAAGTCCTGTTGTAGCACAAAGTGGAAAGCTTTTTCTTTGGTTTAAAAGACAAGGTGTGGAGTTCAATAATTGCACTACTTAGATCTGGCACTTTTCATCCACTGATTTTAAACAGTTTTACCAAGTTTGGGCATCATTATCCTCATTTAAGACATAGGGAAACTGAGGCACAAAGAGGCAAAGCAACTTGTCCCGTGTCACACAGCAGGTCACTGGCAGAAGTGAGAACAGAACTCAGATTTCTTGACTCCTCACTGATAGGATCACACTGCCTCCCATAGGCAACTTTTGTAAAAGATGTATTATGCTGTGACCCAGGGACCCCTTGATGTCAACTGGCAGAGGACATAAGGGGTGCATAGGGGTTTACAGGCATCTCCTGACTCTAACGTCTACATAATAGTGCACCAAAGCATGGCATGTGAGGCCTCTACGAACAGCCAATAACGCATTGGTCATCCTAATCATTGCAGGATGTATGTACGCATGATATTTAAGGACTTATGTATCTATACCGAAAACTATGTTCTTAAGGTATGTAAGTTAAGACAGCTCACCAGAAAGTTCAGGCCGGGGGCAGGAGACAGTTCTCTTCCATTGTGTAACTTACAATGTGAGTCTATCTGCATACAGAGCCACCAGCACAGTTTGCAAAAATTAACAGGAAAGAAGCCTACAGGAAAAAACAACGAGCACAGAGGAAGCTGTCCTGTTTACGAGTAAAGACAATGGATTGCTGGAATACATCTAGGATACAGGGGCATACCCAGGATACTTCACCTAGGGCACAAGTTGCCAGTCTACATGTCTTATGAACAGAGGGTCACAGCCAGCCAGGCTGTAAAATGTTGGGAGAAAGACTTTGGGGGTAAGCTAAACTCCACAGGATCTGGTTAGATAGGGCTAGGCTCTAGAATGCCTGTTATGATTCTATTTAATATGTAGCCATTTGTTTCCATTAAATCTACTTGCTTCTTCTCAAATCTATAGTCTTTGTTAAATAAACTTATTTTTTTTCACTGTAAACATATCTAAGTGCTGTGTGTTAAGGAGAGCGGTGATCCTGCGATGAAACTGGCAAGCTGAGGTGTACTACTCCTTTGGGACCTGTGAATTCTGTGAGCAGCCAGTGGAAGAGGGACTGGACACTCCATGGGGATGCTCAGAGGGTGGAGTGTGCCCATCGCTTTCCTGGAGAGGGACAGCAGAGCCTGTGTAGGCTGAGAGGGGAGTGCTTGCGGTGCCCATGGCTGGTGGAGCTGACCGTCGGCAAGCACAGACATGGCTTCCTCACACTAAAGCCAGGTGGTAGCGAGGTGCCTCGCAATCCTGGGTACTCCTGAGAAGCATCACATATGTAGCTAAGGCATTGATACTGTATATTAAATTGGTATATATGGCTCTGACCTTGCACTCCTCCCACAGGAAAAAAGCAAGGGGTGTAAGATCAGACCCCATACAGATAAAATTCATTTTACAGTAAAAACAGGCATGGTCATAACATACTATTGATAATTAATTACTCTGCAGTCACTAAGCCAAATTCTTTGTCAGAGTATATCCCAGTGAAACCCCTCTGATTTCAGTGGTGGGCATGAGCTGTACATCATTGCAAAATATAGCCTATTCATTCTAAATTACATTCTTAGGATAAAAATTTAGCTTCAATTTTTGTTGATTCTCCACACTGGGTGCACACTTGACTCCTCAGTAGCTTTTCCTAGTATAATTTCTCTCTCTCTAATGGCTGTGCATTCCATAGTCTGTTGCAAAGACTAAAACTTCAGCACTCTTTTTTTGGGTCCTTCAACGTGCGGAAAAAGAAGTTAGAGAGCTGGAGAGAGGAGTGGAAAGTGTGGCTAGCTTGGTGCATAACACTGTGTTTGTAATTTTTTAAAACAATACAGATTGGAGTTTTTCTTGAATTCCACTGAACCCCTCAGGCAAGGAGGTAATTTTTTATTGACATTTTGTTTGTCTTGCTGCAAACAAGACAGTGTTGCATTTGCTCATTGTGAAGCTAATCGGCTTCTTGTCAACTGGATCTGAACTAAATTTCTAAGCAAATCCTTTTGCCTGTAGGGTTTTTCTCTGAATGAGAGCCTAGTGAATAACTGTTCTTCTGAAGCAATGTGTTTGCCTGCTGCTGTTAGGTTTATCTGTCACATTACCTCTGGTTTCTCATCAGACACCTGAATTCACAGCAGTTGTGGCACTAGGTGTCACCATCATTATAATCCTTATTGGTGCAATTTGTATTGATTGAGCAACTGTGAGTAACCATTGATTTCCTCCCAAAAGAATAAGCAAAATGAAAGTTTCCCAGTATACATTAAACCGAATGATCTATAAATATGGATTATTAACTCACTAACATCAAGTAACAGTCACAGGGCACTGGGGTACATAGGCAGAACACTGTTATGACCCTTGGGTCCTATCAAAAGGGAGTTGTGGTGGCAGGGCACATGATTAGGAGGAAACATATGGCCTATAGGAAACCAGATTCCTGCCTCCTAGGCAAGAGCAGCAAACAGTTGAGACCCTGGCTCGGGGAAATGACAGATGTGGTGT